GAAAACAAATATGAATTCATGCTGTTAAATTCTACTCTGAAAAGAGACAAATGCAGCGATGTTTAACTGTGTGCAACTTCTGTAATTACCATCAAAATATTTATTATTAGACATGTTTTTAGAAGCATTCCTGTAAAAGTAGCAACAAAACACTATGAACATGCCTCGTTACTCATTAAAGTGCTTTATGCAAAATGACCAGACTGTACATAAAGTATTCAAAGCAAAAGTAATGTTCCCCATCGGTGCCCACTTACAAAAGGGATCAAACACACAATCCAAGGTCAAAGCCAACTACGCCACAAGTCATTTACACTTTACATGTTGACCACTTTAACAGGGATCAGCAGTTGTCCTCCAACACCCACCATCCTGTAAATAGAAGGCCGGTGATCACGCCGGCCTCAGAAACCCAACTCTGCCTTTAGGCTGCAGCATGTAGTAAGCATCTTCGCTCTAAAAAGAACATGGGACCACAGCTTTAGTTTCTGAAGCCCCAATGACTTGTTGGATATTCCAGTGGCTCATCATCATCTGATGGTTCATCCTCATTCAGTGGCTTAAGAGAGTATGCAAAATAACCGTTGTCATTGGGGCTTTGGAATCAATGTCATTTGGAAAGACCAGAACAAAGTGGAGATATCTGGCTGTAATGCACAGTGTAAAACTGGGAGGAACGGTGGTGGAGGGGTGATGGATTGAGCTTGTTTAGGCCGAAAAAAGTCAAAATGCCATTAAAGGCATTAACAGGGAGAGGGGGGCACAAAGAAATACTTTCTTATTCTCATTTAAAAAGCTTTTATTAAATAATTATCAGAGGCTTACAACCAAAGTTTTTATCTGATGTAAAATGTATAGAAATCATTAATATACCAACAAGACTGTACATCACTGTCACAAAAGTGTTTGTTTTCATTCAAAGGCTTTATGGCTTTAATACCTGGTGGGCCGGTCTCTAGTCAAAATGCCAGAGGCTGATTTTTTGTCCCAGTCCAGCCCTGGGCACAACACGCAGTGAATTAATCTGAGAAGGTGCATCAAAAAATAAATGGCCGCGCCAGCGGTGCACATCGCAAATTAGCACTGTGCTGCTTCTTAATGACGGTATCTTAACTAACAACCCCAAGTACCAGATTCAACTTGTAATAGGCTAAAAATAACTTAGCCTACTGGTGAGAGGGACGTTGTTAGCTTTCCACATTCCGACACTTCAAAAGCTTCAGGAGCTGTTCACTCAGCACAGCATCAGCACCACGGAAATACACAGATACATCCGTAGACTCGAGACACAATGAATTTTTGGGACTTTCAGGCGTATGGACCAATGTTTTATTTTCTGATCAAACCAGAAATCTTTAATGAGCAGCTAGATTTGTCTCGCATTAACTGGCTGAGTTAATGCCAGTTAATGCAACATCGAAGCAGCTGGAATACTGTCATGACCAGCAGCTTTTACAGCTG